CGACCATTTCTGGCCGGCAACTTTCAGTGTCATTAAGCCGCTGCGCCACCGCGTCCCCCTCCTGCCTTAATACACATCTAAAAATCAGTACATCAGAATGCACAAAGCAGCATTCATAATTGGCGTTTGCAATAGACTGGGAGAAAAGAAAGATTATATATTCAAATAGTAAACCATGTTCCATGGGTTCAACTAAATCAAAAGGTGTTTCAGAATCTCTAGTCCTTCATAGCTCACAAGGAACTGCTACCACCCAACACTTAGGCACACACTGCACCGATCCAACTCTCTCTCCTTTATTTGCATCTTTCAAATTGCTGGAACAGCAAGTGGGTCATGAGAAAGAAACCCCACCCAACCTGATCACGAGCAGCATCAAGTCCCAAACACTTGAGTTATTATAAACAGAACTAATCACAAGAACCACAAATAAATAAGGACAAGGGGAGAAGAACTACTTGGAATACAGCAGAATGGGTGCAAAAAAGGGATCTGGGTAAGGCAAGGGGGAAAAATAATTGACCAAAAATGTACACCACTTTACATTACAAGGTAAGGTTATTTCTGTCCAGTAGAAATGCGAAGGGAATGGTGGTTTTCTCTGAAGAGATACAGCCTCAGCAAACCTCAGTGCAGATAGTCTCAGCAGTGTGCAAAACATAGGATGTCCATCTATCCAGTATGAAAACTATATCTCCATTTACTTACAGTTTGTCTCCAGGAATATTAGGTTGAGGAGAGAAAAATAAGGAGGGGGATGTGAGTGAGGAAGCAGCTATACAAGGTAAAGGCCTAGGACCAAATAGAATTTAGTGCATCGTGTTTTGGATTGGGAAGATGAAATGACAGATGGAATGGGCAGAATATGGGGGTACACAAGCTGGCCACTTTTTTGATATGAAGATGCACGTGAACTGGCCACTATTCTGTCTGGGGCACAGAGATGGTAGGCCCCTTGGGGTCATCAAATCGGTCCATAGTCTTGAGGCTCATGACCATGTGGAGGCCATAGGTGAAGATAGCAACAAGAAACAATGAGGTGAGCAAACCCATCCAGATTCCAGGAGAAAAGAAACCAGCACAGTCACTAGCATCAGAAAATGTTTCATTTGTCAGCTGGTAGCTTTGGATCTGCAGGGACAGAGAAGATTGTATTAGTGCTACAGGCTGGTTTAAATCTCCCTATATCCCACTATATTCCCAAAGGGATATTTACAAAGTCTGCCAGAAGTCAGAGGATGTGGGAGAGTGGCCTTGATCTCTGGCTGCCAATCACAGAAAGCAAGTAAAACCCATTCTCCTCCCAAATACCAGAATAATTGATTAAAAAGAAAGTTGGTCCATTGATACAGGGACAAAATGGCTTATTTCTGGAAAAGATGGACAGCTTGGTTTTACAAAGGACTAGAGCTTTCTGTTAGAAACTTCCCACTGTTTCAAGCCAACTAGAATATATTCTCCCCACTCAGCATACCTGAAAATTCATGATCGTCAGTTTCCACTGGGTGGCATTTTTGGCAGGGACCAAGATGCCCCCCAGAGATGGTTCACTGCTGACACAAGCACAGCTGAAGGAGTAGTTGGTAGGGGCCGTGATTTGGGTAGCGTTGAAGACAGCAGGAGGGTATCCAGATCTGACCAGTTCCACAGTGTGGAGGACAAACCAGTCCCGCTTAGAAATGGGATAACTGGCATTTGTCATTTTAAATCTGCGGTGGGGGAGGAGAGAGAAAATCAAGACAGGTGCAAAAAAAGAAGAGCAAAAATATGTAAAAATAATCTGAAGTAGTTCTTTAAAACCTTAGTAACCTTTCTACTCACTTCCATCGTAGTCCTCTGGGTCAATGCGTGAATAAAACTAGCCCCAAACTGCCTAGCAGCGGCAGGTTCCATCATGCATCACTATCTAATATCCACTAAAACAGCTTGTCTTCCATTTTAGATGAGATTTCTAAAAACCCCTTAGGGTTTTCATCAAGCCTTAATACTACTGCTAAAAGAGAAAGGTGGGCTGGCATCTTTCTGTGGCTGAGGATCACACCTAACATTTATTTGAGGCGGGGGAGGAAGAAGGGCTCCAGTGGACAGGGCTGGCTCATATATGTGGACTGGACCAGGATGTTCTGCTCTTTGCTTTTTGGAGGAGACTCAGTGGGAAGCTCCACATTTTAAAAGCATTAGACCTATTTTAGTACTTAAGGGAGTGTTTCTACATTATTTCCCCTTCAAAATGGTGGGTAACCATGCCACTGTCTTTTGGTTACTGTAGTGAAAAGGGCCTTTAAAAGTGAAGTCCTGAGTCAAGGTGAACTCCTGATGTCCACACAGTTTTCTTGGAAGCCATGGGGGCTGGATAAAAATAACTCAAGGGCTCTCTGTGGCTGTGAGACCTCAGGTTAGCACTCTAGATCATAAGGTCAGCCCTGGGAAGAGCTACACACAGACAAACTCTAAGCAACAGCACCCCTCATTCTAGAATATTAACCAAAAAATCCAGCCAAGCCCTTTGATGCAAACGGAACCACAAGAAATAACCTCTCATGCTTTTAAATGCCAGGCTTTAAACAGTATGCTTGGTATCCC